ACGTTTTTGATTCTAAGACAGAATCCCAAATCATTTCTATATGGCTGTGAGTACACAATGAAGTTATTTTGCAACATTAATTTGCCTTTCTACTTCTGTTCTATAATAATTGGGCTTATATAGTAAATTTATAAAACGACCTTTGAACATGCTGTGTGACCACATGTTTTTCCTAGACTTCCTGTTTCTGTGTTGCTAGACTCAACGCTGAAAGTGCTGTCTTCCTTGGGTGCAGAGGTACAGGGGAAGGAGGGCAACACAGAAGCATTTTGGGAAAGTAGAATGGGAACAAACATTTCTGTGGAAGGGGGAGTTAGTTTTCATGGATAACTCAGAGCAGACCCTCTGCAGCTGTTGGTAACTACAAAAGGGCTTTCGGAACAGCAGCTTTGGTTCAGTGTAAACACACAGCGTGCAGGCCTGGCCCCGGGGAAAAGTAAACAAGCCCTGAGATCTGCTTCCAGGGGCACGAGATGAAACTGAGGTTGGACAATGCCTGATTTTCATGCAGAAAACCTACCAAGGGGAGAGATTTACCACCTCACATTACATGACCCATAGGTTCACAGGCCATTCCATATTCGTTTATTAAGCGTTTAAGAGCTGCACACCCTAGACACTGTGCTATTAGGGGCCAGAGTTACATCCAAGCACAGAACAGACACAGCTTCTAGCTGTCACAGCCCTTACAAACTAGTGAGAAAGGTAGACAACAGGCTCAAGTGCATTCAGTGCTGTAACAGGGACAGCACTTTCAGGATGCCATGGAGACATAGAAGAGGAACATCCAACTCTAACTTAGGAGATCACGGAAGCCTTCTTGGAGGAAGTAACATTGAGGCTGAGAGCTGAGGGATGAGCAGAAGTTAGCTAGGTTGTAGGAGTGAGGGGTGGGACAGCAGGCAAGAGAATTTCAGGCAGAGAACAGGATGTACCCTCTCTAGGACATATGGATATATATTTGGCAACTAAGCTAAACATCTAATTATTTTTGTTTTTAGAATTGCCTGTTCAGGCCTGGCACAGTGGCTCATGTCTGTAACCCCAGCACTTTGGGAGGCTGAGGTGGGAGGATCACTTGAGGCCAGGATTTCAAGACCAGCCTGGGCAATAGCAAGATCCCATCTCTATCAAAAATAGAAAAATTACCTGGGCATGGTGGTACGCGACTGTAATCCCAGATACTTAGGAAGCTGAAGCAAGAGAATTGCCTGAGACCAGGAGTTTGAGGTTGCAGTGAGCTACTATGCACTCTAGCCTGGATGACGGAGTGAAACCTTATCTCAAAAAAAAAAAAAAAAAAAAGAGCCTGTTCAGTTTCAAAGTATCTGTTAGTTCTTCAATTCTGGAAGGTCTGCAAATTTCTGATGTGACTTTCATTTGTAAGTGTTATTTGATATTTCAAAAATAAAAATTTTTATTTTAGAACACTTCCAGATTTTTAACTTTAAATTTTAAAATAACTTCAAATTTACAGAAAATTGGAAAAAAACCCCCTCAAAAAACGCCCATATATTCTTTAACTACTTTAGCAATTGTTAACATTTTGCTGCATTTGCTTTGTCTATTTATATCTATCTATATGTTTCCACACATCCTCCTAGCCCCTCCTCATGTTCTCCTTCTTCTCAGTATTATTATTTTTGTCATAGTTTGAGACATCATACCTTTTACTCCTAAATACTTAAGCAGCTATCTGCTAAGAATAAGGACATTATCTTATAGAACCTCAGTACAATGATCGAATTCAGGAAAACTGACATTGATGTTACACTACTATCTAATACACAGTCTGCATTTGAATTTCACCAGTTGTCGTAGTCATGTCCCTACGTTTTCCTGATTGGAGATCCAGTCCAGGATCATATATTGCCTTCTTCTTCTTCTTCTTCTTTTTTTGGGATAGGGTCTTGCTCTGTCACCCAGGCTCTGGAGTGCAATGGTACAATCATAGCTCACTGCAACCTCCAACTCCTGGGCTCAAGGGATCCTCCCACTTCTCCCACCTCAGCCTTCCGAGTAGCTGGGACTATAGATGTGTGCTACTATGCCTGGCTAATTTTTGTATTTTTTGTAGAGATAGGGTCTCACTATGTTGCCCAGGCTGGTCTCAAACTCCTGGCCTCAGTCTTCCTGCCTCAGCCTTCCAAAGTCACACATTGCCTTTAACTGTGCCTCCTTTAATCTGGAACAGTGCCTTAGTCTCTTTGTCTTTCATGCTATGGATATTTTTAAAGAGTACAGATCAGTTGTTTTGTAGAATGCCCCTTAATGTGGGTTGTTTGATGTTTCCTCATGGTTAGATTCAGTTTATATATTTTTTATCAGGAAAGTGATATTGTATCTTTTTCAGGAGATCACATCAGGAGGCTCATGGTGTCAGTGTGTCTCATTATTGCTGATATAGACTTTTGTTTCTTAGTCACCCAGTCTCTGGAGCGCAGTGGTACAATCATAGTTCACTGCAACCTCCAACTCCTGGGCTCAAGTGATCCTCCCACCTCTCCTACCTCAGCCTTCTGAGTAGCTGGGACTATGGACATGTTTTAAACTGTAACAGAAACATACATATCCAAATGTGTTTCTATTCAAATTGTATCACAAAGGAGACTAATAAAGAGCTAACCTGCTCTAAGTTATCTTGTTTGAATGCAGACCTCAGTGTTTAGTCTCGCTTGCCATCTCTGCATATATTTGAACTTTGTGTAAGTGTGTCATTGATTAATAGGATTGTAGCTGTACACTGGCCTTAAAAAAGCTGAATGTAAAATTGTACAAGTAATAAATTACTGCTTAGCCATGTGAATCAGAATCTCCTTGATACCATACAATCAAAACAACATACAAAAGTAAATTGGAATCCTGAGGCTGATTTAAGATAATTGTGAGTGCCACTGGATAGATTTGAGTTCATCAAAAGAGCCTCATTAGTCTCAATGTCTGATTTTATATTAAAAACGTATATAAAATTAATTAATAAAATGCCCTTTGCATATGTTGCATTTATGTTTTATATGTTGGGTTCCTGCATAGAATGTCAGTAAGAGTCTCTTATTTTGGCCATTTGAAAATCACATTGTATCCCACTATAGGTCCTATCCACTACATAATTTCTGCAACCTTCTCCATTATCTGCAGGCCTTGATGTTTCTTTTCCTAATATCTGAGATTTCACTCTAATTTCCAACACCCCCAGGGTTCAGGAAATACACATATATCATTAACCAATGGGTTTTTGGGTGTGGTTCCCAGATGCTCCAAAGTACACAAAATTTGAGATTTCCTTCTTTCATTTTTGAAATCCAGTTCTGTTGATGTTAAAACATAGCAATAGAAACATTTTAGGAATACAGTCACACTCTATGCAATCACCTGCTTGGCCACTGACTAACCGACACAGATGACCCAAGCATAGGACAATCCTACCTTATTCCAGAGTTCTTATTCCACGAATGAGGACACTGAGATCCAGACAGGTATCTTCTGAAGAAGGTAAACTGTTAATGGCAGTCAGACTGCAGCCCGGCTCTGCCTGTGCCAGGGGATGGGGTGGCTTTCCGATGGCAGAGGTGCTCCCTCGGGAGGTGACCAAGCTGCCTTCCTCTCTCTTGGCAAATGTGGGTTGTTGGCAGCTGACGCAGGCCTTGAGCAAGGTTCTTCAGTCTGGTTTACTCATCTCAAATTCAGCCACAGAGTTGAAGCCCAGCCAGGTCCTTGGAGGCCTCTAGATTTCCTAGCAGATTTTGCAATAGAAGATGGTCCTAACGGAAACACAGGACTGAAGAGGTGTAGATGCCTTAGAAATTCATTTATAATGTATTTTCACTGGGAAAATACATTCTAAGTTCTAAAAGATTTTTCTAAGCTGAACCAATGTATTAATAAATTGGAGACCACTTACAACTCATTCCATTCCATTGAACTTCATATTTATGTGTGCAAGGTAGTACAATAGCTACTTGGTGGATGCCATGGGGCTATCAAAATGTTTAAGACATAGTCCCATGCTCAAGAAGCCTACAATAATCCCGGAGAGATGGTACATAAATATATTTAAAACTTAACAGTAAGGTAAGGTAACGTCTGATGCATGCCCAGATGAGTGGAAGAGAACATGGACCACTGGAGAACGGAGGCAGTTGGCCACATCGCTGAACACTGGGGCTCCTAAGTCAAATGAACTGCCTGAAATTGCAGCTGCTCCACTTCCTAGCCGTGTGGTAAGTTCCTTGAGTTCTCTAAGGTGCTTAGAACAGCTCTGGTCATTTTTGGTGCCCCCAAAATGTTAGCTATTACCATTACCTCTGTCCGTGCTTGAACCGCCACTTCAAGGATGGGTAGGACGTGAGCAGAGGAGCAGGAGTAGGTTTCATAGAACAGTGACAAAGTCATAGTGAATTATCCTCGCGAAAAGCTCCACAAACGAATACTTTTGTAACTTAGCTGGCAACTACCGAGCAGCGGCGGGAGGTGGCCATCAGGAAACCAGATTCCACCAGCCTCCCGTCTGCAGCTCCCGCCGCCCGAGATCCCAGAGCTTGCCCCCAGGGGGCGCTGCCGCCCAGCCGCCGCAGGCCGGCCCAGAGCGCGCCCCCGCCGCCCGCCCCGCGCGTGCGCGCCGCCCAGGTGAGGAGGCGGCGGCTTGGGCCGCGGCGGGGGCGGGCTCCTCAGCGGGCCCGGCCGGCGGGGTGGAGCCGGAGAGGCCTGGGCGGGGCGGGGCCCTGCGAGACCAAGGCCAGAGGCGGGACCAGCCGCCGCCGTCTCCGTCTCGGTGTCCCGGCCCCCACAGCGCCCGGCAGCCGCGGCGGGAGGAGCGGAAACCGCCGGGTGCGCCCTGATCGGAGCCGCGCCGGCCGAGAGTGCGCCGAGGAGCGGCGGGGCGGCCTCCGTCCGACCCGGGCCAGAGCGGCGCGCGTCCCCTCCCGGCAGCCCCCCCAGCGCGGCCCCGCCCGGCCCCGCCCGAGCTCGTCGCGGGCCCCCAGCCCGGCCCCGGCCCGAGCGCGGCCACCTGAGCCCCTACGCCGGCGCCATGGCGGAGCAGGAGAGCCTGGAGTTCGGCAAGGCGGACTTCGTGCTGATGGACACCGTCTCCATGCCCGAGTTCATGGCCAACCTCAAGCTCAGGTGAGGGCGGGGCGGGGGCGCGACGCTGCGCTTTCCCGAGAGGGGGCGCCTCGCGGTGCGGCCGGACTCGCGGTGTGAGGGGCGCGCCGAGCACCGGGGATGGCGTGCGGCCGGAGGGCGGTGGCGGGCGTCCGCTGAGCTGGGTGGTGGGGCTTTCCCCAGAGAGGACGCCGCTGGGGTGCGGCCGCTTTGGGGTGCAAGGGGCGTGCCGAGCTCGAGGGCCGCGCTTTCCTTAGGGGGTGTCCCTGTGTGCTGTCTGCACTGGGGGTGGAAGGGGTACGCCGAGCCGGAGGGAGCGCTTGGGCCAGCGCGCCAGCCTGCCCTGCGCCAGGTAAGCGATGTGGGCGGGCCGGGTGACCTCATGGAAACAAAAGTAAAGACAAATAAAAACTTCAGAGAGAGTCGTGCTGGCCCCGAAGACCCTAGGAAGACTAGAGGGTTGTTTGGTTGTTTTGGAGAGAGGTTGGCATCTCATCCCGGTTTCACACTTGCTGCTTTTCTTCCATTCTTCTTCGTCTTTTTTTTTTTTTTTTTTCCTGGCATGGTTCCATCATATCATTCAGGATGCTTTGGAGTGATCCCTGAGCTGTCTGTTCCGGGACACTGGCTATTTTTTAGTTCCTCTCTAAACGTAATTAGACACGTTTCCAGACGTCGAAGAGACTGCTGTACTTGCCAGTGCCAAGATAAACTGTCTGAATTTGACAAGGCGTTCTTGGTTTTAGTCTTTTCAAGGAGTTGTGGATGGAGCCCTTGTGTTACTGACATCCTTGAGAATGTAGTCACAACTCAACGACCCAAAATGGGCTTCCAAGATGAATTTGTTTTAGAAAATCCGCTGCATGTGATTACTTCACCCCCCCCCCCCGCGCGCCCCCAGAGACAGGGTCTCACTGTGTCTCCCGGGCTGGAGTGCAGTGGCGGGATCATAGCTCACTGCAACCAATCCTCTTCCCTCAATCTCCTGAGTAGTTGAGACGGTTACAGGCATGCGCTGCCACTCCTGGCTAGTTTTTAAAATTTTTTTTGTAGAGATGGGGGGGGTCTCACTGTGTTTCTCAGGCTGGTCTTGAACTCCTGGCTTCAAGGGATCCTCCCACCTCGGCCTCCCAAAGTGCTAGGATTACAGGTGTGAGCCACCACGCCTGGACTTCACTCTTGATAGAGTAATAGGTAAACATCGTTTTAAAGTAGTTTGGCTTAAACATTACAGTAAGGAGTTTCAAAATAGCCGAGTTGTGCGGTGTGTGTGTGTCTGTGTTTCTGTTTCCTTGGAAGCTTTGGCCCCGTTTCTTATAAGATTTATAGCTACACATCACTCCTTAAGCTTATAAAGTGAAAATCAAAATCTAGATTTGGGTGCTTAACTAACCCTACTTCTCAATATTAATTACCTCAGTTAATCCTAATTTAAGAATTTTAAAAACTTGTTTAATCTTTGAAATTGCAAACCACATAGTCTTCATCTGCTCTTGGGCAGGTTTAGTTTTGTCCCAGAGCATAGAGCAGGAGCACAGACCTGAGTTCTACACCTGCCTAATGCAAACTGGCCTTGAGCTGGTCAAGGTGCCTGAGTTTCCTAATTTATAAAATGATGAGGTCTTTCAGTACTCATATTCTGTGATTCTAAATTTTGCAAGTGTAGGCAATTTCAAACTTGCATAGTATCTTTCCAAATAGAGTATTGCAAACTGAAGTAATATAATCAGATTTATTACATACACAGAGATAGGGTCTTGCTCTGCAACCCAGGCTAGAGTGCAGTGGCATCCTCATAGCTCACTGCAATCTCAAACTCCTGAGCTCAGGTGATCCTCTTGCCTCAGCCTCCTGAGTAGCTGAGAGTACAGGCACATGCCACCATACCTAGCTAATTTTTTATTTTTTTGTAGAGACAGGGTCTCACTATTGCCCAGGCTGGTCTCCAGCGCTCGGCCTCAAGTGTTTTCACTATTGCCCAGGCTGGTCTTGAACTCCTGGCCTCAAGTGATCCTCCTGCCTCAGCCTCCCAAAGTGCTGGGATTATAGGCATGAGCCATGGTGCCTGGCCAGAATGTTACATTTCTGATCAAAGTTTGGATGCCCAATTTTTTGTAGAAATTACCTCAAATATCAATCAAAATTACATACCTCTATATCTATACCTCTATAACCCATAACCACTACCATAGTGGTTAAGTGTCAGATTGTTGAGATTCAAATTCCAGTTCTACTGCTTTCTTGCTGTGGTCCTTGGGCAAGTTACTTAACTTCTCTGCCTCAGTCTTCTTATCTGCAGAATTTGGGGTTGTCCTGAGCATTAAGTGAGTTAATATATGTAACTTCAAAGATTAGTACCTGGGAAATTCGTATTAGCATTACTGTTTAAAGTTTTCCCAAGTGCATATAAAGCAGATAAAGGAGTAAGTTATATAGCAATTTTATAGATTAAGGTAGTTTTAAATTATTTGCATTTATTTTAAATTATTCACTCCCCTCCCCAAAAGAAAGCAGTTATGTGCTTTGAGAAATGCCTTTATAATTTAGACACTCTCACCTTATAATCATTTCCGTTTTTCAGAGATTAAATACATTTATTAAGTATATTCAGCATACAAGACACTATAGTAATAGTTGAATATAGAGTCATTCTTCTTAACCTCTATCTCTTACATCCAGTGAATACATGACATTAGCCGAATCTTTTGCAGAGTTTTTAGTATTTGAAATTGAAGGCTTAGAGTCTACCTGGGTTATATTAGTTTGTAGGACTACTCCTCTGCAGTAGAAATAAAACTTATATGGCTTTTTAAAAAGTAAATTGGGGCCACACATGGTGGTTCATGCCTGTAATCCTAGCACTTTGGGAGGCTAAGGTGGAAGAATCGCTTGAGGCCAGGAGTTTGAGACTAGTCTGAGCAAGAGTGAGACCCCATTTCTACAAAAAATAGAAAAATTAGATGGGCGTGGTGGCAGTAGTCCCAGCTACTTTGGAGGCTGAGGTGGGAGGATCACTTGAGCCCAGGAGTTCAAGGTTGCAGTGAGCTATGATGAGACCACTGCACTCCAGCCTGGGTAGGTGACAGAGTGAGACCCTGTCTCAAGGGAAAAAACAAAAAAAGGAAATCAGGGGAGGGCACTTTGAATGAATTTTTTTTTAAGACTTTAAGTCTCTAAGTATGAATCTCAAGATGGGTCATTAAGGTAAGCCTAACAACTCTTATGTGTATGGAAGAAAATACTGCAATTTAATTCTACTTTGTGCTGGGCACTCTAAAAGATAACGTGGGAGCATCCAAAGAAGTATAGGATGTGCCCCTTACCTCTCAAAGAGGTGACATGTCATTGGAGACAGGGAGAAAGGTGAAAATTTCTATTGATTTAAAGAATAGTTCAGGAAAACAATGTAAGAGTTAAGCCTTATAGAGCTTAGGTGATTATTTGCTAAGTATTTGTACAAATTGTTCTGGAATTCACGAGAGAGAGAGAGAGAGAGAGAGAGAGAGAGAGAGAGAGAGAGAGAGAGTCTGGAGGGCACGAGAAGGGATGTGGATGTCTGTGGATTGACCGCATGTGACAGGTGTGTGTGGGTGTGTCCACATGCTGTGAATGGGTCCCAAAGGATGGGTAGGATTTGTCTAGGTAAACATATGAGTGGAGAGCATTCCAGGTGGATTAAGTGGCATGAGTTGAGGTTGGTGGCGTGAAAGCTGGCTCTACTTCGGTGACAGTGATTAAGCTAAGTTGTCTGGAGGGGAAGGGGTCGATGTTGGGGACTTGTGGGAGGAATCATCACCTCTCATTAGCACAGCTCTTGGCTAATGCCCAGGTTTTTAGGTCCACCTTTACACCCATTCACTATGTCAGTCAGGATCCTGGATGTTCAGCTGTATATGTAGTATATATTTGTATGTATCTCATGTGTGTGTACTTGACGACTCTGAGAATTGGCTACAATTCTCATTGTACAGATCAGTGATTATTCATGACTGACATGTAAGTTAGAGTGGTTGTTTCCCTATAGCCATAAACACAGTCCCTTACCCTCCTCTCAAGATGTAAATCCTGACCCAGACAGGAGGCAGTCCTGTCTGATAGTCTGTTTTTCATATTATCCGGATGTCTCCCCGGATTATTTTAGTATTTAGCTGTATGAGCTCCTCGGCTCCTGCTGTTGTGTCCCTTAGATATTTTTTTCACTTTGCAGAAGGTGACTAGGAACCCACCACTGCAGATCCAGGTGCTATGATGTGATGTTGAAGTGTTTTTGTCTCCTGGAGTATCAGCGGTTGGGCCACACTGGATATATCTTTGTGGTTGTATGTAGGTGAAATTGAGCATGTCTGGTCTATCGGTGGATGCGGATGTGTGAGTGAAACTTCCTTGTGTACATGTACCTGATAACTCCTGCCCTGCCCAAGCTGTGGCTCCTGCTCTCACCCCTCTGGAATGTCCTGTCCTCTGCGTCCCACCTGGCTCTTTTGCAAGGTCTGCTTTCTTCCTTATGGTCCGTAACATACAATCAAGCACTTAAGGCTGCTGTTGCTTCAGAGGTCTATGTCATCAAAACTTGATTTTAGTTTTCTTGACAGCAGCATCTAGCATGATGCTGGGCACATAGTACATTCCTTTGTGACAACATTTTTTGTAGAAGGGAAAAAAGGAATGTTTCAATTACCTTTTTAAAGCTCTTGTGGCATTGTCCATTTAGAATTATCTTCTTATCTTGCCATTATTCAGGCCTTCTTTTTCCCTCTTGGAGCTAAAACTTGATTTTTGGACATCTGCCACAATTGGTGTAACTTTCCCCTTACTATTGTTATTTTTAAAAACTGATGTAGGCGTGTGCCTGTGGTTGGGGGTCTGGATGGTGCATGAGTAATGGGGTGATGTGTATTAGTGTGAGTTAGTATGTCTGAGAAGAAGCTTCAGTTTTTATTTCTTGCCCTTAGAATATAATCTACTAGTAAATTGAGGGCTGTCTTCCTTCCCTCCCAGAAGTCTCTTGCTGGGGAAGATTT